GGCCTCGCCGCTCGTCTTCGCATTGAGATGGAACAGTTTTTCGACTTCTGAAAGCCGAGGATTGCGTATATAGATGGCGGAGAAAAGGTCCCGAAATGTGGGCCATTGAACATAGTCACCATTGAAAACTTCGCACTCGACTGGAGGTAAGCGACATCCGCCCTGAGACGGCGTCAGATTGGAGGACTGAACAGACTGTTGTGCGCGTGAATCTGCAATGATCTCATTGAGGCTTGCTGCGCACCGCTCGTAAACGGTATAACAGTCGTCATACTTGGATTGCATGGCTGTTATTTTGTCTTTGCAGGTTTGACTGGCCACAACTTCGGAGCACGTCTCATATTCCTTTTCCACCTTGTCCCAGAGGGCCCTGATCTGTTCGAGTCGAACCCTACTCGTGTGGATGGACGGATTTGTGTCCTCATTGGTATTGATTCTGGCTTCAAACTGACTCACCCTATCGGTTATGGTCGTGAACTTCCTCAAGGCCCTGTCTCCCTCAGCTTGAGCCATTCTGCCACTTGCTCTAGTGAAGTGGGGAGATACGACTGACCTTGCGGCTTTTGTGGATGGAACAGACCGTGGAACTTCAAGCGACGTGCTCGAAGATCTTAGTGGAGTTGCGGTTGTCAATGGGCCTTTGCTGCGAGAGGGATTTTCGCTTTTGGAAGGCACAGTAGATTCACTCTTCTCCCTGACTCTGTGAGACTCTTTTTCCTTAGAAACGGCCAAAAAGGATTTTGGTTCCTCACCGTCACCAATTGGCTCTCGTAGCTCTCGTAGGAGCCGGAAAATGTAAGTGAGTGAGGTAGTCTATCGACTTTGACGTGGTTCGGAGAGGGGCCGCTGGATAAGCGCAAAAAAAAAAACCGAGTTAATCGAAAAAATGTTATCGATTTCAATTAGTACGGGGACGCTGGATGAAGCGTTCAAAATTGATGGTTATCGATTTTAAATCAATACAGGGACGCTGGATAAAGCGTTCAAAATGGTTATCGATTTGAAGGATAAGGGGGCGCTGGATGGCGCGTTGACACGGATGTACTCGGTTCGAAAGATATGGGGGCGCTGGATAACGCGTAGAACAAATTAATCGAAAAAATGCTATCGATTTCCAATTAATACAGGGACGCTGGATAACGCGTTGACACGAATGCACTCGGTTCAAAAGATATGGGGGCGCTGGATAACGCGTAGAACAAATTAATCGAAAAAAAGCTATCGATTTCCAATTAATACAGGGACGCTGGATAACGCGTTGACACGAATGTGCTCGGTTCAAAAGATATGGGGGCGCTGGATAACGCGTTGGCACGGATGTACCCGGTTTAAAGATATGGGGGCGCTGGATAACGCGTAGAACAAATTAATCGAAAAGGATGTTATCGATTTTAAATCAATAGAGGGACGCTGGATAAGCGCAGGAAAACAGAGTTAATCGAAAAAATTATATTTATCGATTTGGAATAAGTGCAGGGACGCTGGATAAGCGTAAATAAACAAATAATACTCGAAAAGGATGTTATCGATTTTAAATCAATACAGGGACGCTGGATAAGCGCAGGAAAAACAGAGTTAATCGAAAAAATTATATTTATCGATTTGGAATAAGTGCAGGGACGCTGGATAAGCGTAAATAAACAGATAATACTCGAAAAGGATGTTATCGATTTTTAAATCAATACAGGGACGCTGGATAAGCGCAGGAAAACAGAGTTAATCGACAAAATTATATTTATCGATTTGAAATAGAACCGAGAAAAAATATGTAGAATCAATTATTCGGGGACAAATAAATGTTTGTCGAAAAATACTGTGGGGTTGGAAAGTGAAGACAAAAGGATAAATCGAAAATGTATGCTTAATCGGAACGGTGTACACGATTTGGAAAAATTAGGTTGTAAATTAGTCGAATTGAAACTCAAAAAACCAATAATGCAAAAAAAATGCACCCAAGTGTGAACGGCTCATTAACAGACGCGTATGGTAATAGCGTCGCAACCTTGGCGGCCAGTACTTACATACATATGTATTTACGCAAAATAAACAAACAAAAAAACTATTAAAAACGCAGATTTTTTAATTTTGTTTGTTTCACTTGGTTTTGTGTTTGAATGCAGCGACACTGATAGCTGCCGATGCTCAATTGCCGGTCCAGCAATTTATGTATATGGATATGTGCATATATGTATGCACGTATGATCGGCCAGCTGGAGGAGGGGGTTATCTTTATTTATCTTTTTGTTTTGTTGTTAATGTGCAGTGGATGGAAAATATGTATATTTGTGGTGGATGGAATATGATCTTTATTTATTTTCTCTTCTAAATGCCGCCGATTTGTGAACCAAAGGTGATCTCCATATGTATGTTCATAAATCGGCAATGTTCGTACATACCTATGTGCGTATGCAAATTGTGTAAGTATGTATGTACGTACATATACTACGGAATCGGTGTGGATGTATGGTTTTTTATGTATGGAAAAAAAAAACTGGATGTAAACCCTTTCGGATATTGGCTGATTTAGAAAATAGGAAAGGGGCATATAGCCATGTAAACACATGCATATATATACATATACTACTGCCCAAGTTGGTAGTGCTTTAAATAAATTGGATGCAGCAGTATATCTACATATATATGCATGTATGTACATACATATATGATGGGAATTTCGGCACCGTACTTATCTTGGCAAAAAAGGCGCTGGAATATCTCGGGCGAAGGACCAAAAATGAAGCTGTCGGGGCCGTGGCAAGTACAAGTCCAGAAAATTCCCAATAAAAGCAGGCAGAGGTTTTGGATGATGTTGATGAGGAGGACAAACGATCCGTCTTCTTTCGAATTTATTTTCAGAGTAATAAAAGAGAGGTACCACTAATATGGCGACAGGTACATTTTCCCCAGAGATGCTCCCCTGGCGATATTGCCCCTTGTTCAGCATGAACACCTCGGGACACTTATCCTTTAACGAATGAGGTATAATTTTTTTAGAGCGGATGATCCTGTGGACTGTTGGGATGTACACCGCAAAACAACTTTTTTGGAGGCGACTCGGGAGATTTCCTATAACTTCTCTACTTTTAAATATTTTTCAATACAAAATTTATTAAAAATTATTCAAATGTTGTGTTATTATATGGTATTTAATTAATTAAGCAAACTTTAGCCGTTCCGCCACAATATTTTTTGAAAAGTGGCCTTTTTTGCACCGAGATAACCTTACCACCTAAATCTAGAAAAATATTTTTATGAGTGTAGGTAGTATGGTGAAAAAAGGTTGCAGCTAATCGAAAACCTTGCTCCCTCCGTAAGACACGGTAAAGGTGGGGATGTATGGTGGCTAGTCAAATGGATAACTTCGAGTTCATTGAGTCCACCATGATAACTATGGTAGATGTATATTGAGATTTTTAAACACAATTTGCTTCTAAGCGCTGAAAAATTAGGACAGAGAAATAATTTTTGGTTTTAACAGGGCAATGATCCAAAGCATTGTGTCCGCAGTACTAAGCTGTGGTAGCTTAATAATGTCAAAAATCAATCCTATTGAGCATTTGTGAGACTTATTGGAGCGTAGGATCCGCCAACATACTATAACATCGAAGGATATGCTCAAAATGTGATGCAAGAAGAGTGAACCCAAATAATGGCAAAGGATACGGCGAAATTGGTTCACTCGATGCCAAATCGATTGGCTGAAGTCATTAGACGAAAATGATTACCCACTTCGTCCTAATATATGGGCATTTCCATGGTGTCGCACGCGACATTCGTACGCATTCAAAGCAAAAAAAAAGTATGGTAAATTTAATTTTTATTTCTTTTAAAAATATTAACTTATAGCTCTTGCCAAGGGCTATAATTGGTGTTATTATTGATTTTGAGTGTATGCTCAAATTTAAGAAATTTAAAAAAAATTTAAGGGTTCGCACGCGACAAAAACAGAAGTCACTTTACGCGGCGAGCTGTTTAAACACTGATTTTAGCGAAACGGCTGGGAATATTTTAATGAAACAAATTTTAAAATGTTATGCGATAATATCAATTTCATATGCTTTTATTTACGATCAGAAATTTAGCGTAGTTTATTTTTTATTTAATTTTAATAAGGTGTCGCACGCGACAGTTTTTATCATCATACTTTGCATGTAATTTTTTACTATTTAAGTAAATTAGAAGAGCATATATCCATTTTATTTCGACTTTTTGCATTCTTCTTGTGATGTTCGTAAACAACAGTCAAAGCATAATGCCTCGGTTTGGATGTAATTATCAAAAGAAAACAGGCCCATTTTTATGATGTTTTTCATCAAAATAATGAAAAATCGTGTTTGCGCGAATATGCATTCGAATATTTCGAAATTTGTTTTAGAATATGATAAAGCCCTTCAAATTTAATCAATTGACCTTTTCCTAATGTTACTATGTTGGAAAAAAAATATTTTAGAGAAGTTTTAGTCTTTTGGCCGCGGTTGACATTTCTGTGGAAATGCCCATATAAAAAAAAAAACGATTTTTGATATATATTTTTGTTTTTGTACGCATACTTTTTTTGAATGAATATCAGATCATTTTGGTAATTTTTATACTCTTCAAGGGTAATTTGAGTCGGAAGTTTGCAAAGTAAAAAAGGAGGCGGTTCCAAACCTATAAGGTAAAATATATTCTTGATCAGCATCCACAGCCGAGTCGATATCAGTCTGTCCGTTTCTACGCACACTAGTTCCTCAATTTTGAATCTGAATGAATAGTCTTCTGACTATTCTCACTACTACATATATCGGAACGGGCTGGGTCGGTCAACTATATCATATAGCTATCATAGGAACAATCGGAAAATCTAAAATTTGAATTCATGTGCCCATAGCTCTAAGTAGCGCAACAGAAACCGTTACTAAATTTAAATAAAATGTAAGAAATTAAAATTCAGTCATTATATAATAATTTTTATTAGAAATATTTATGTAAGTATATGAATATGTGTGTATATGGCAACCTTAATCTATTTGGTGAGTGGCCAAATGTTTTTGGTATTCCTTGAAAATGTTGGTCTTGAAGATCTCATTTGGCGCCTGATCCGAACACTTGTGGCATTCGTAGATGAACTTGCCGGGATGTTTGCTCGTCTTGACAATGTGCTTGCGTAGATTATCGATGGTGCTGCACTGGAAGTCGCAGTGGGGGCACTGGTGGGGCTTCTGTCCCGAGTGGCGTAGCGAGTGCCGGCGGAGGTGACCCTTGGTGCGGGTCCTAAACTCGCACTGATCGCATGAGAACCACTCCCTGGCGTCGTCTCCCTCCCGGGAATGGGCTGACTTGAGGTGCCTGGGGAGAAAAATAAGAGAGGCAGCTTGAGCGAAGCCATATTTAAAATCTCAACGCTTGATTAGGCGGTAAATTCCAGTGGCGGCTTGTCCCACCACCGAAGTCAGAACTAATTGCTAATTTTGTATTCGAATCGCACGTTCGAAATCAAAATACGAGTAAGTTGGCAATTGGCAATTGCTTTTCGGCCAGTGGGAGAAGCGGTGGTAGGAGCAGAAACCGCAGAAAGAGCAGCGAACCCAACCAATCCAGACTTGGCTTAGATGGAGATCAGCTTTTGGGCAAAGAGCGCGAAACCACAATTGGTGGTCTGGTCTTCACGACTGCGCAGTGAGCTACTTTTCGGAGTCCCAATAAAAAAAATAGTGACTTAAATAAATAAAATCTCTTCAACGATTTAAAAACAAGAAAAGGAGCTATTGTCGATTTTCGATGTTTGCTTTGGTCCTGTCTTAGGATTCCCAACGACTCCTGGCTAAGATGTAGGGTAGAGTACCAAGAAAATTAGTGATAGTCAGCGAGTGGTCTGATGATTAAACGATCGTAACCACAGCTGCAACTTGTCTATTGACAAATTGTTTTTGTTATTTTTGGCTTAAGTGGCGGCTTTGATTTTTACAACATCGAAGACGACTAGTCCTCGAGTCTGAAGAACTTTGCAAATTTTCTAAATATTTTTATATAAACTCTATATGTACAAATTATTTTACCACCATCGCACAGTAGCGCCTCTCGAACAATTAGCGTTGCAAAAATCGAAAAAGTCATGTTCGCAAAAACGATTTTAACCATACTTATTCGACTGGAAATTTAACAAGGATTCAGAATCTGCAATAAAATCAATTTCAAGATTTTTTTTGTAGAAGTTATGAGCATTTAAAGTTGAACTTTGTTTCGTTTTTTGCATCATACAAAAAAAAATGTGTAAATTGGTCGACTTTCAGGTAATATTACAAAAAAACCATAAAACCAATGGTCATGGTTTTAACTTTAAATGATAGATACATTCATAAACTATTAAAGAACCTAAAGAAAACGACACTTTGGTTTGGGCTTCTACAGGTAAATCGCTACCTGCCAGGTGTCCATTTTTTTTCACCTTTTTCTGCCTAAAGTAGTCTATATCTTTTGACGCCAATGCCGGCCACTGACTACACTATGACTACAAGTTCCGTGGATCTTTCCTGGACCAGAATTAACTTTCATCGGCTGCGTCAAGCTGCGTCTGCGGAAATGCAACGCAAAAAACCAAAACAACTCAGGGTAAAATATACCAAAATACCGACACAATTTCATACATTTCAAGAAATATACTAACTGTAGCGCGTGGCGGTTACACTTCGAATTAAAAAAAAAAATTTTTTTCAGTTTTCAAATTATTTTTATTTGAGCAAATACATAAAAATAAACATAAAAAATTAAATAAAAAATATTTTTTAAAAATTGTTTTCATTGAAAAAAAATTATTTGTTCACTTTGATCCCCTTTAAAAAGGCGTATTTGTGGGCGTGGTACTTTATGCAGTAAATATATACATTTTACAACAATTACCTGTCCAATGCCGTTTAAATTATTCGATTACCTTATTTGGTTCAAAAGATATGATTTTTGCAACGCTAAATGAGAAAAGGCGCTACTGTGCATCGTTAGGAGTACAATTCTATAAGTAACAGTGAATCAACATGTTCCTAACAATAGTAAGTTTAATTTTTATAAATTTAAGCATTATTGAAAAAAATGAAGTGCCTTTTTTCATGTTGCGTTTTTATTTCACCCACAATGTACACTCAACTGTAGCATTTCTACACCATTGTAAATGTTGCTACTATACAGACTAGTATGTATATAAAACATTTGACTGAGCTTTACTAAACCATTAAAACAGTAACTGTAGCTTTCTTACTTTCTTGTCTTTTGTTTACATTATAAAATCAATCTTACTTTTAACCCTTAACTTATAATTATGCACCTACTACTTGACTGTTTTATTTAGTTTGTTTGTTAACCATTAAAACCCAATATGCTCTTCCAAGGAAGAAGGGGCTACCTCACTTACACTATCGCAGTTACGCGCCTTCAATTACGCCCCGGTGCTCCTTGAGCGCTTCCCCAAAGCCCCAGTGAAGGAGTCTGGTGGCGAGTGTATGTGTGTGTTGTCCACTCCACTTATCAGCTACTGTCCAAACCGAAGACTCACAATTAATTGCCAATGTTTTTTAGTGGACTCTCGGGCCGCCGGAATCGGAATCTGTGTGAAATCTCAAGCTCAAACTGAATAAACTGAAAACTGAAGCCCCAGCGGAGTTGGGCGAAGCAGACGGACGCGTCTCATGCGCGCCTCGGTAGGCTTAATTAGCGGCAAGTAATGGAGCTTCAAGATCGTTCCGGGGCAGCCCCAAGTTGTAGGAGGCCCTCTGTCTACATCTCTGTGTCGAATGCCGACAAACTCGCGGATACAGATTCGCAAATCGAAGCCGAGGATGTGCTGGCCGAACGCCTTTTTGGCTGCGCTTTGAAATTCCTGGATCACCAGCGCTGCCTTTTGATAGCTAATTGAAGATCTCGGATGTGAGTTAAGCGCATCACGGAGCTCTGCCGCAGAGTCCGGAATTCTGGGCAAGATTTATGCAATCCCTGATTCTCAACTAAGGTCAACTTTTTCGCATTTTAATGAGGCGAGGTTTTTGTTTTTTTGTTACTGTGAGACTTGCGTTGCGTTCGCTGAATGAGTTCGTTAAATGGAACCGCGTTGAATACTGGAAATATACCTAATAATTGGGTTTGTGTGAATAAAAATCCATTCAAGGTATAATTAGTTCACAGTGAAATTTTATAAATATATTTTGAACATTTCCAGAATATGGTTTTCCTTAAGCGTACACTCCATTGAATATTGAGTATATCATTTTTCCCATACTCCATTCTCGTGTTCCATAAATAGCCCACGAACTGATCCAATATCCATTACTTCTCCCAAATAAGAAAAATAGGTAGCCAAAGGTTAAGGCGCTCTAACCATTATCCATCCCACTGCGTCAGCATTCAAATCAGCGCCGAACTCTTGGACCACGTCCAATGCTAACACTTACCACTGCAGACTGCATCTTGTTTTCCCTTTATTACCATTTTTCCTCGTCGCGATCCCTTGCGGCGGGCGGGTAGCAGCACAGTGGCTGGCCAACAGTGGCACTGCCATACATATTGCCGGCAATTTGGCCCTGAACTGACGGTCGGGATTCCTGGAGATACAGCGAGAAGGCGGAGTCAAGCGGAGGAGAGCCAGGGAAATATTACAAGAATTCAATCCGCATATCAAAGGCGATCGATAAGTCACGATTTTTCGTTTGGGATCGAGCGGCGACTCTTTCGACTGTCCTCCTCCAACTTAACCTCCTTGGAAGCGGTTCTGTGGCTTCTTGTTGTTGCTTCCATCAATTTATGCAATTGCCCTTCAAAGTTCGCAATTATGGATGACGTTTTGTTCTTATTGTTCTTTTCTTTATACCCAACCTAGTACTTGTAGAGTACAGGGGTAATTTAGCTCTTGTGAAAATGCATTCAAACATCCGAGCTAGACATGTTCGTTTGCATAAATACCCACATTATAGCCAACTATCAGTTTCCGACCTACGAAAGTAAGTACAGACCGTATAGACAAGCAAGTACAAGGCTATTATTAGAGTTTTCTATATGTAATATTTTAAATATCAAATTTTACCTAATACTTAAGCTCTTATTTTCTCAGAAATCTTAGTCAACAATACAATCTAAATTAGTTGAATAAAGAAAATGCAAAACAATGTTGATATTTATAGAAATGAGAAAAGTCTGCCGCGGCCAAAAAATTGTAAGTTCTCAAAAATCTTTTTTGTAAGAAGTGTTCTAATTAATAATTTTCGACAGAATCTAGCATATTTTTAATAAGATATAAAAATATTCGAATGCAATGTAGCGCAAACTCGAATTTCATTATTTATATGAAAAAACATGATAAAAAGGCAATGTTTTATTTTGATAATAACCTCTAAACCAAGAAGCATTATGCTTTTACTTTAGCTTTCTAAAATCACTCAGAGAATGCAAAGATTTGAAAACAATCGGAAAACTTAATATATCCGATAACTAATTTGCATTATCCCTTCCTTTTATCCCCCTAGCAAATTTACTTAAAATTGAAAAAAGCAAGTCATTTTTGAAAAGACTCATTTTAAGTGGCATCAGAGGACAAAAGTTTACATTTAAAAAGTTTGTAATTGAATTGGGGACCTTAAAAGCACATCCGTTTTTTGTCCCGTGCGAATTACTTCAATTTTGCAATTACCTTACACATGAATAATTACCCATAATCAATCATTGCACTAATGAAAAAAAAAATCGATTCCTTTCTACAGTTTTTTGGATCCCTCCGCGATTTTGGAAATGCGTAAAACTACCATTCCACTTGACTTAACGCAAACCTGACTAATATTTTCTTAATTTTCAGTATTTTCTCGCGAGTTCAGTACAATTTACTGCAAAAAACTCCCTTAGGCTCAGAACATTTATTAATTAATTCTTAAAATCTGCTTAGAAATGATCACTTACCTCTTCAGATGTAGGCTGCTTTTTCCCACGTAGCTGCAGTTTTCCCGTTCACACTTGTGCCTACCCTGGGAGTGCGAGATGAGGTGGGTTTTGAGGTTTTCTTGGTATAAACCCGCATAGGAACAGTCTGGAAAGTGGCAGCGGAAGCTTCGCTCTGCTCCCTGAGTGTGACTCAACTCGTGCAGTTTAAGGGAATGCCTGAAAAAGTTCGAAATGTTAAATAAAAATTAAGCAAGAAAGGAAGCTAACTTCGGGACGCCGTAGTTTGTATACCCTAGCAGTTTGCAATTATAGTAATTATAATAATTATACTAGTTTTTTATATTTAAAGTGACAGTTTTACATTCACAGCTTTCGATGTTACTCGACATGCTCTGATCGTTTTTATGGCAACTATACATATCTAGTAAAGTCGTCCGATTTTCATAAAATTAAAATCGAAATTCTGAAATAATACAAAATAGTTATAGCTCGCAGTACATTAAAATATGTGAAAAAAAGGTGAAGTTATAATTGTTTTTTTTTTTTTCTAAAAATTTTAAGATCGTTTCAATGGCAGTTATATGATATAGTCGTACGATCCGTCCGACTCCGACTTATATGTATATTAGTGAAGTAATCAGAAAACTACCTGAAATTTTGCATTCAGATAACTTCAAAACTGAGGGACTAGCTTGCATCGACTCAGCTGTTAATGCTGATTAGACTTCTGCATGAATGCATCCAAAATGACAAATGAATCACTTATTCTAGAAACGGGAACACACTTTTTACTGCACAGTATACTTGGGTGTGAGTGAGTAGGGTAGTATTTTCTGTTTTGACAGACAGTTTTCTCACTCATTCCATAGTTGTACAGCTGTTTATGAGTACACCAAAAATTGTGTGCAGTAGTCAAGGCACTGTACAGTGTTTTGGTGTGCAGTTGACTTATTGTACAGTGAGTGAAAGTTCATGACTGGTATGTACATGCACACATATAGAGTTCTCGTGTGTACTATGCATTTCTTATAAAGAATTTTATTTTATTAAAGAATTTATATTTAAATTTTTAATATTAGAATGGAGAAACATTATTTTATGTACCATTTTTATGCACTTATTGAAGAATACTGAACTCATCTGCACAGTTGTACACATACAACTAACAAGCTGTACAACTAACAAGCTGTACAGCAAATATAGTACTCACTCCCGAAGGGTACAACCATATACTGCACTCACGTAAAGTGGGCACACTAAAAGTGTTGTGCTATCTACTTCTGGCCTATAGAGTATACTGTACAGAAAGGATTGGGTGCAGTATTTTTAAGAACTCTACACTACTGTACAGATCTGTTATGCTACAAATGAGTACACTCATGCAGAAGTCTAATGCTGATCCAGAATATATATATTTTATAGGGTCGAAACTGACTCCTCCATTGCGTTGCAAACTTCTAACTAAAATAATAATACCCTGGAAGGGTATAAAACTGTATGTGTCTGTCGGTCACTTTATTAGGGCACCACACTCCCTCTCCCACTCTTGACGAAACTTTTTTTGTTGAACTCCTAAATTTTTTAATTACATTAAATCAATGCAAACGAAATTCGCAGCAAAGTCACGTTTCAGGAACGGCAATGACACAAGGCACGTCCACATCCGAATCCAAACCAAAGATCCAACCTGACCGGTTGCGAGCCATGTCCACGAATGTCCGGCAGCAGCGTTTCAGTCAAAGAGACCCGCAAAATGCAAATGCAAACTCCCCTAGGCAAAACTTTTCGGTACATCAATTACGGATGCTAATTAATCGAAACAGCTGAGAAGGAGAGAGGGATCTTTTTATTTTAGGACATTTTCACAGTGGCTAAGGAACGGTTCGATTTTAATAAGACAGGACAGGGCATTGTTAATCAGACTTTAAGATTTTATTTAAAGAGTAAGGAGAGCACACGTTCGATATAGAGATTTTTAATGCGTTTACCAATTATTACTTTGAAGGCATGACTTGATTTCGTATTTTAGGTAAAAGGGAATAACGTATATTTTTCACAATCAACTTGAAAACTACCAATACTCAGCGTTACAGGCTCTGACGAGTTAATTGGACTTATAGGATTCAGTGGAGGAAGAACCCTTTGGGGACTAAAGTCTGTATTCTGAAGATGCAGCGACACATTGCGATGTAACTCAGACTTTTAGCCTGTTCTGTTAACTAATAAAAGGTTAATTGGTTACTGGCAATACCATAAGTATGATTTAGTTGTTTCATCCTTTAACCTTTACTATACATAAGTTTTATAGCAATTTAAAATAATTAAGAATACGTTCCCTTAGGGAATAAAATGTATATATATTTATTACTGTCCGGTGACAATGAAATGTATCTGTGTACCAATGTTGTTTCTTCTTTATTTTTGACAAATATTCAAAATCCGTATTCTTGGAACTCGGGTTTATCCCAGAGCTTTGGTAATTTCCACAGCTCTTATCGTATTCAAGGCAGCAAAGGATTCTTCTTAATAATGCGCGACATTAGCAAAGTTTCAATCTTGAATCTAAATTCCCGTTGCGAGACAAACACCGAACAACCGATTTCGGTGGTGCGGGTGGTGGAGGTGGTGGTGGGGCGACAGTGTCATGCATTTCTAATGATGCCATAGCGTACTCGGAAGAAGAAGAGCAGGAAAGGACAGGGGCGAAAAGTGGGCGTCGTTGATATGTGAAACGTCACTTTGTATAGAGCTTGAATAGAAACGACAATGACAACGACGGCGACCAAGCGAGCAGGGTGACGAGCTGGGGAAGGATGCAGAGAGGGCAGAGCCGGATGGTTGGCAAGCAGCTCCTTGAAGGTATTGCAGGTCTTGACAAAAGGATGCCATTTCACCTGAAGGAGTTTGCCGTAAATTGTTCTTGTTTCTGTGGCTCCTGTTGCCCAGGATAATGGCGGCAAGGAACAGTAACATAACGCTGAAAGAAAGCAAAGCGAATTAGATGCAACAACAGCACAATGCCAGCAACAACATTATCTGGCGGCTGGTTCGTTTCCCCTAGTTCCCAGTTGTATTTTCACATCCAACATTAACTTTTATTTCCGTAAATTCATTCTCCCCCGCACTGCTCTCTTCTCCGGCAAGTTCTTGATTTTACTTAGCCATAACCGTCTGTCTCGCTAATAAGTTTGTCTCTCAGCAAAGTTCAGACCAGGCAGCACTACTCCTGAATTGAATACGAGGCAGGTGTCCGAGATTCATATAAATCTTAATTTAAATAATGCGACTGTCTTTAATAGATATATTGCATAATTTAATATTGAACCTATATTGTTTTAGTCAACACCGTGATGCATATTTAACTTATTAGAACAAAAACAATCTTAAGAATATTGAATGGTTTTAGCAAAAATACTCTATGAAAACATTTTGACATATGTATACGCATATTCCATTATCCCACTTCTATTTGCTAGACCTTTTATAGTTCGTAATCCTCACCATCAAATACTAAAATACTATTATTTTTTGACAATATCGAATTGCATTGTAGAATAATTCATTTCTATTTTTGCAGATATGAGTTTTAGTATAAAATCATAGGTAAGTGAACGCTTTTTAATTCCTATATAAGATAATCCTTACAGATACATTGATATTCAGAATCCGCTTGAAACGAAACGAGAATTAAATTCACACGAATGCCTTTAATGATAAGAGAAGTTTAGAAGAGGACATATCCTGGGATCTCCAGGCAGCAGCTTCGTTTCCGATTTGTTGACGAAAACGAAACGCCTTGCGAAGAAAACTTTGCCCTTTTTAGCGCCAATTTTGAATGGGGGATGGGCTAAGGTTCAGTTGTCATCAACACCCTTCTGAAAGGGATGCCCAGGCGCAGGGATGAGTGCAGCTGCTGCAGGCCACGAGACGACGCTGTTGGCCCTGTCGGGTGTTGTGTCAACTTTTGCACGCCATCCATTAGAGGAGCGTATCCTCTGCGGAAGCTCCTCCCCGTTTTTCGCCAAGAAAATGCTGAGCTAACATGTTGCGGGTGTGGCAGGTGCAAAGTGTATCCTGCTGCTGCTCATTGTCAGCTGCACGAGGATGCGCGGAGGTAAGGGGTAGAGTTTGAGGGGTGGGGTTTAAGCTTCCAAGAAGGACTCCTGTCTGTGGCTGTCTTAGACAATCGCATGTGTAGTTTGGAGCAGCTGAATGTTTGCCTTGGTGCGCTCGCATTGTTGTTCCCAAAACTCGCATAAATATTTATGACAGCGTCTTTCTTGTCTTGTCTTGTCTTTTGGGCGCAAACTTCTTCCCTGCCGTGGGGTGTTAGTCAAGTCAGCCCCTTGCAGACTGCTTCCGGTGTCAGTCACCGGGATGTGTGCGCACACCAGGGCTGCCAACTTGGCGTGATTCCCGAAAAAGCGTTTCCTACCACGATTATCAGGGGTATTCTATTAGCTGTTGAGACAGTTTTTTGTATAGTGTCTGAAAAACATACATAGGTATATCAATTAAAACAAGTCAAGTTACCTTAAAAGGTTCACTTTTACAACGATCGACTTTAACAAAAAAAAAGCCTACCTTGGGGAAGCCGTCCTTTTAATAATGTAAACATAAACAAGTAGTAAAGCTACAGTCTACTTTAATAGATTGTGAGATACTCGGTACCCGAGCCATTGTGGGTGCTAATCTATGGGGGGGCAAGGATAAATCGGTACAAAACGGGTTACATTTCAAAACACTTTTTTTTCGAAACGACTAAAGTTAGTTTTATTAATTAAAAACCATATTAAAAGACAATAATTGTTATAAGGAATCTCCCGTGTCCCATCAAAAGAAGTTGGTTTGCATTTAGATCCTAACTGAGTGAGGATTATCGGATATCAAAAATATATTTTGCATTCGTTAAATAACAAGTGTCCCGAGGTACTCACGAGGAGTTCTTGATTTTTTATTTCAGGAGAGCCATACATTGAACATCAAACGACCTCCGTTAAACTACGCATAGTTCGGTCAATATTGCTATGATCGATGTGAAACTTTGACAAAATACTCCTAAGATATTGAATATTTATAATAAAAAATAACAAAAAATTACGATAAAATACCATACCTCCATCCCCCTTTAAAGAACAAGGAACTTTTGTTAGGCAGACTGGAAGGCAGAAGAAAATGTTGACAAATAAATTTTAAATGTTGCTAGGAACATGTTG